TAGTCAAAGAACAATCGTTCTTCACCCTCATGTCTTTCAAATTAAGGAGTCTTTAATTTTTAATGTTTGCATCTGTCTTAGAGGCAGTTAGTTATCTGAGACTTAAGTGACACAGCAGGAAATGGTTTTAGAGATTGTAAAAATTAATGTAACTCTTCAAGATAATTTCTCCACAAAGAGAACAATTCAATTTTAGATCAAGGAGCTGAAAGCCCCACGTACACGTTTGGGACTTAATGATTTAAGGAGGCAAAAAGGAGACGTATTATTACTGAAATTTATTGAGTAAAACTTAAATGTATTTTTTCCTCAAAAATAGAAAAATCCTTTAAAGCAGTAAATTCATTATTCATTTGGTGACTAAAAAAAGACACCATTTGTAGTAGAATGATCCTTTTCTGAAGGTCGATTTGATGAGGAAGTGTGGAGCGAGTTGAGGTGAGGACAGCAGCATAGGTTGGCCGTGTCCTGCACCGTGGCCACACCTGAAGGTGAGCTTGATCCTTGGGGACATCGGGTGCCCTGGCAGAGAGGTACTGTCAGTTCACAATGAAGTTTGTGTCAGAGAGACACAGCCTGTGTCACCCCAAAATGAAACGAAACTTGCTCAGACAATAGGCCACCCTCCCAGTCCAGTTCCAGCTGAGAGGGTGGAGGCCCACCGCGTAGCTAGTGAGCCTCAAGCTGTCTGGCCAGGCTGGAGGGGGCTGCAGACGGCTGAATGGCATGATTTGCAGTTCTTTAGGAATCCCGCTTTCTACATCTGATTATCTTTTAAAAGTTGAACAAGAAAATGTTGGTTTCTGCCCTTGTAAAAACTGTTATATTTGTTTCTTGGGATTATTTAACATTGATGCTGTGTTAGCATGAAATTTCCATGATGAGAACTTGGCCTCGTTTTGGGGGGCAGAGAATATGTGTCAGATGCATGCCAAAGGCCTGTGTTGCTAGACTGAGGTACTAATACAAAAATGAACTTGGTCCCAGCTCCTTGAAGGAGTAGGGGGCCCATGTCTGTCAGTGTGTTTTATGTCCTCATAGCCTGGGTCTCATGGTGAAGGTTTAGCTGCTCCTTGGTCATCAGCAGCTCAGAGCCGCTTTTACGGTATTGATGGGCTCTGGGCAAAGTTGTGCTGTGGCCTGACCCCGAGTAGTGGGAGTCTTTCCTGCCCATCCCATTTCCTCCTATCCCCGCAGCAGAGCCTACCAGGAGTGGCCAGAGCCCCAGCCCAGAGCAGCGGGCCCCGGGGAGCCGGAGAGTTGGTGGTTCTTATCCGGAAGGGCCATTTTTCCTCCCAGAGAAAAAGGTCACAATAGAAATGGGTGCTCCACTCTAGTAATCGCAGCATCATGAAAAAATATATCTTATACAAACATCGGAGGCTTTAGATAAAAAGCACCTACTTCAGTGCAAATAGCACGTGCCGAAAAGGCCTCTGAATTAGTCACGGCATAGGTTCACACTGCCAGAAAGAGCCTAGGCTGGAATTCAAGGGAATAAGGCCCCTCTTTCTCTCTGGCTCAGAGTGGGGCGATGGGGACACAGGCCAGGGGACCAACCCCGTCGGTGCCAGCATTGTTCCTCTTGGCCACGTATTCTAACCCATTGTTCATGTTCATGCCCAAGCAAGAACCTCCAAGAAGTCAAGTACTATCTGTTCCCCAGTCTAAACGCCTCCCTGCTCCTTGTAAATCTGAACCCAATTTGGGAAAACAAAATTTGATGAAAACTGGGAGAAGTGAGTAGAATGACAAGGCACAGTAGCAAGGTAGTGGGAGCTCGGTGCCTGTTCCACATCATGCCATGAAGTACTATACTATCTGTACAGCCACATGTCTTCTGAGTATTTTATTTCCCTTCAGAAGGAAGTTTACATTACAATCAGGCTAGGAAGTTTCTCCTGTTAATTAGTACCTGTTTGGACTCATGTAATTTTCTTTTTTCTATACTAAACTAATAATACCATTACCTCTCAGAGAACATTTCTACAACTTAAAACTGTAGACAGGTTGGGAGGGCTGAGTGCTAAGAGCTCAGCCAGCACCAACACTGGAGTTTAAGATGCTGCCTAGACCCCTGCGTGCACCCAGTGCAAGGGCCAGCCAGCAAACAGCAGCAGAAATCCCCTTGCACCAGCGTATTTTAGGACAGACAAGGACGGCAGAGCCAGGAGAGTGGAAGGTGGCGAGTCACAGCCTTCCAGGAGGACGTCCCAGGCATGAGGTCCCCTCTGACTGTGTGGGCCGAGTGTTCTACCTGTGCTCCAGAGCCTGCCAGGCTGTCTCTTCACTTCCAGAAATGGATGACGAGATTGCTCCCTCCTGGTATAATTAGTAATTCTTACTACCGCCCCCTCCCTTTTTTTTTTTTTTAAATTCAAGGTGAAATCGGTGCATTGTAAAGCTGGGGACACAGTTGGAGAAGGAGATCTGCTCGTGGAACTGCAATGAAGTATTTATAGCCTTCCAATCATCACCCAATTTAATTAGCCATTTGTATTATTCTTCTTTCATACTCCATTTATTCAAGCGTTTTGCAGGAACACTCCTGTGCGGCAGATTTTACACGGTCATATTTATTCCACATATAGTCAAAACCAACATTCTGCCAAAAAATTACCAATGGAAATTTTTACTGACATAAATACTTGTACATATGATTTGTACTTCTGCTGTGAGATTTCCTAGTATCAAAATTAAATCAATAAAACTGAGCATTTGTCTAAATATTAGTTTGCCTTTTTGAATGAAGACAATGTACATAAGAGGCTACAGGCTGTGCCAGTAGACTTTAAATACTAGCATTTCATTGTGATCCTTTAAAAATTTATATAAATCCCAGCTCTTTGCCTTCAGTTTCATTAAATTAGCATTTGCCACCTTATAATCTTATTACCTGCTTCTCCCGGTTGAGGACCTAACTCCCCGTTTGTGGTTATTTATAACTTCTTAAGCCCAGGCAGCACCAATGATTTGGGAAATCCCTTCTATGTGGCTCTAACGATTAAGTACCGAATCTGCTAGATCCCTCGGGGCATCACCTTAGGGGCGGCTGACTCACATGGTCCTCTCTCCCCCATCCCACAGGCTCTGCTCGGGGCTCCCTCACCCCAACTGTAGTAGGTGGGGCTGCCACAAGCCCATCAGCTGATACCCATCCTTGCCTTTTTGTGTTTTTGTGAAGTAGGTTTCCAATTAAGAAAAAAAGGGCTAAAAATAATGATCATGTTTTTTGTGCCAGATGCAGTTAGCGATCATAGTCTACCATTAAGTTGAAGAGTTAAGTGAGCTCTCCCAATGGAGAATGAGGTTACTAAGGATCAGCAGCTGCATTTTCATTTGGTTCTGAAATTCTTGGAATACATTTCATACTTTGCTGGTAAGTAAGCAGAGGCAGAATCGTGCACTGATTTGAATCTACGCTGACAGATCATCAGATGGAGGTGGGTAGTAATTGGTACTTCGTGCCTTGCTAAAATTATTTTAAGTGCTGTTTGTATTTGGAAGCTAAGCTTTCTGTCAAGCCTGAAGAACAAATTACTAATATGTTGGTTCTTCTCCGAAAGGCCCACCCCCAAATGCTGCTCCCTTCGGGAAGCAGGAACAGTGCCTTGCTGCTAGGCCCTGGGCTTGGGTGAGCTTCCATCTGAAATCAGGGGTGTTCAGCTGTGTCTGCCAGCAAGTGGGCGCTCGTTATTTTGCTAGATTAGAATGAAAAGAACCTTCTAACTAAGTAGGCCCAAGAAAAGAGCCAAAAATAGCACCGACACTTTCATATTTGATTTCCTAAAACATCTAGTTTAATTTTAAATGGCCACTCTTTAATAAGTTTGATTTGAAAATTGTGAAGAATGATGTTATATATAACTCCAAAACTACTGTAAAATACAACATGTTTTTCCTGAGGTTTTTAAATTACGCTAAGCCAAGATCAGCTTAAATTTTTTTTATCTTGGTGCTACAGGTCAGAATCAATATAGTAGGGCTGCGAGAATCTAGCTGCAACACAAAGTCTTTACATTCATTTTAAATGTTATCTTCAGATTAAAGCAAAGCAAAAATAAAAAAAAGTACGATAACATGAGTTCTTGAAATGTCATTTAGGGGAATTAAAATCCTAAATTTTTCTTATCCGGTACATTCAAGCCCATGATGCTCTTTAAACAGCAAGGAATAAAGCAGTATCGGACAGATAGACCTCAGGGCACAATCTTGTTATCAGTGTGTCAAAATTATTTGGGAAATTGGCTGCCACTACAAAAGAGATTATTTCTTTTTCCACAGATTGAGTTCTACAAATGTTTGTTTCAAAGGGCATTATTATGCTTCTGCATTCAGTGAGTGCAGACCAGGCTGAGGTAATCTTATAATCATCAGGGTTCTATCATGCCTTGCACTTTTTATCTGTTTTCCCTTGGATTATAGCGAAGCCCGTGCTTCCCCTGAGAGTCGTAATTGTCGTGGTACGGGAGGTGGACCCACTCTGGCGGGTAGGTGGCTGTGCTATACACGAAGCACTGCACGGTCCTGTTGGCAGCGGGGGTCTCGTTGGGGACGCTGTGTGCGCCTTCGAGGACCACGACCCTCACTGAGGTGCGCTGGTACATGTCTGGGCAGCCTTCGAACTCGTCGAGGAAGCGCAGCATCTGCTCGTCCACAGCGTAGATCTCCCCGACCACACAGTGGCGGTGCCCTGGGGGGGTCAC